TCACATACCAGGTGGAGACCGAGTTAATGAGGGGGCTTCTCTTGCACCACCCATCCAACATCACTGGAAGTGGTGACAAGGAATGTGAGGACAAGGAGTGGCATGAGGCTGTCAGGTGGGTGGACCAGAGTACTGTAGACCTCTGGGCAGGAACCAGATGCAGGAACATCAAGGTATCAGAGCAGGAGACAGGAACATAGCTGGGACACAAGCCATACAGGGGAAGGCAGAATTAGTAGATCAGATCACAGGTAGCTGAAGACCACTCAGCAATAGGCTGTTTGGTGTCAGCACCAGTGCTGAGCATGCACAAATAAATGCGCTGCATGGCTTGTGCCCATGCAGACTAATGCACATCTGGCAGTCATCCTGTGCACAGGGCCTCATGTTGTGGTATGCTCATGTGCATATCCCACACTGGTTTTCATGTAGTGGAGCGAACTGGAACGTCCAGTATCTGATGCTGCCATATGTTTGTTTGGAACTAATGTTTGCACCAGAAAGCTCCTGTTACATGCACCTACCCCTCTTTGCCTCTTGTCTCTGCCATGTCCGGACATATCACCTAGTCTCTTGTCGCTGCCATGATCTGACATACCACCACATCTATGTTAGATGGTGAAATTCATGTTACTTCTGATGTTAGCAGCACAGAAGATGCACTAACTTGGTAAACTAGCTAGTTTAGGGTTTTTCCCACTACAGCAAGGCTCAGGTGGCTGACAGTGAGGGAGCCAAGCAGCAGCCCTCAATGTATAACTGGCCACCCAAGTGTGCCACCCATCTTTCCTTGATTGCATCAACCTACAAACAGTAAAAATTGTTCCATAAGGCATGATTTTACAGCCTCATTAATTGACCTCAGATTCTAGTATTCATTTTGTTCAAGTCTTATTTAAATAATATATAGGAATAGTCCTTTGTGAGTAACCCACAGGTAATTTTCCACATCTAGGTGATTGTGTTTGTAAATTAGAAGAGATGCCACAAATACTTTACATAAGCAAATGCCACATTCTAACACAATCGGATTCCCGCCAGTTCAATTGTTTTGCCTTTTCTTTTTTCTTATTCTATTCCCCTGCATCACTGAGGCCAATTTAAACAGCAAATGCAAATATTTTTCATCTCTCATTCACACCGCTTTGTGCTCGCGGGACAGCCTTTTCATTGTATATGTGTGTGCTTGCAAGAGATTTACTGCCTTGTGGCATGCCACATGTCTTAAAAATTACAGTGCCCATTTTCTAGTGAAATAATTTCAACAAAGAGTGGCTCCTATTACAGCCAGAGAAGCAGAGACGTCATGATTTATTATTATTTATGGTCCCCGGGCCTTGTTTATGCACGATGGGTTAGGTGCGCGGGATAGCAATGCCATTATGCAAATGACATTGAATGTCCTTTCTGAGCCTAAATAATTTTTGTGTTGGACGATTAAACCTCATCTGTTATTGATATGGGCTGCAGTCGGGCTATTAAAGAGTCCCAACAGTACTTACTCCCAGTAATGGGAAAATTGAGAGGAAGAGTCTAAACAATTGCCTCTAGTGTGCTGTGATTGTCTGCTAGGAGTAGAACATAATAAACCCCCTGAATAGAAATTGTGTTTACTACTTAGGGATAAATAAAGAGGGGAGAAAATGTAATAAATTACACTTTGCGATTTGAATAGAGCACAGCAGAGCATTGGTGTTCTTTTCAATGTATTTATATATTTTATTTATTTTCTTTTTTAGGTAAATAACAAGTAGGGAATTATTCCCATCCAATATGCAGAAGGAAAGGCTAGGAAAGGAGGTGTGGGGGGGTGGCTGCTAGTTAAGTAGAACAGAGGACCGATGTTTGCTATATGGACAAGGGAGACAAGGGAGCTAACATTACCACTTCCCCTTTCTCTCACTCTCTTTCTCTCTCCCTCTCCGTTTTTGACACAGCTGTGCAGTTACATTTTGATCAGTCTTGATAGCTTATGAATTCCAAAATTGACAAAATTTATAGAAAAATGAGGATAATCCATCTTCCTTAGCAGCCTGTCAGGAGCTGGCTATACTTCATAATCCTCAATTACAGATGCTATTTTCAGACATTTACATGCAGATATTAAACACAAATGAGAAACAAAGGAGGAATGGAAATCCAGCTATTTATATGTATAATGTTTGAAGAATACAGAAATATAACACATATATATCATTGTATTTATAAGACTCAGATAGATCTGGCTGTGAATTTTTTTTGAAAAATTCTTTGTAATGAAGTCTGATTGCACTAGCTGAACTCTGGTTTGGAAAGGAATTTGAGTTTGTTTTTAACATCTGAAAAATCATGATTGCCCTCTGTGAAAAAATAAGCTGTGTTGTAGGCATTCCACACCAAATATATAGCAGCGTTTAGGTAAAATAGTGAGGAGAGGTGTTAAATTCTAATGTTCCCAGTGTAAAAGAGGGATTGATCACTGTTATCATCTATTTAAAATGTAATTATTGACAAAGAACAGATATTACGGTTTAACAAACTTATCCCATGTAGGTTGTCATGGACTGTGCTGTTTAGTTGGCATGACTGCCACACTCAAACACTTGTAGAGTAGCTGATGAAATGCTTATCTGGCAATTTGTCATGCACAATTATAACAACATTTTAGGACATACAGTGCAAGCCTCTAAATTCTAAATACAGATAACACAGGATAATCACTGTTTCTTTTTCTGCCTCAGTAGGTCAGTTATGTTCTCATGTCCTACATCATTTAGTTCATTATTAAAGCAACCATTCACACCCATGCTGTCATACTTCTGGTGCTACTTATTAAAGGAAAGTATGAAATACTAATATCTACACAAATAATATGAATATTTATACAAACAAAGGAAATGGACTGTTTTAAAGCTTTAGAAGGCTGACAAAACATAGGCTGCAGTACTACACTGTGTATACAGTATGCTTGTATAACTAAAGCATAAGCATATACTCTTCATTATTCGGGGATATATAAATAATAAATATAATATATCAGGATCAGGAACTTCAATTGCTTACTTTTTCTTTGAAAGTCCAAGTTTCAGTAGTGTAATCTTTTTGCTTGCTACACATTTAGTTCATCCCTGGCCCAAAACAAGCCTGTCCTGACACCTGCTATGCACATACTTCTTCTAGGTTGGTGGCTTACCCATTTGTGTAGCAAGGATGAGGAAAACAGCCCTGTGACATTTATCTTCAAAAACAAGTCACAAACGCAGCTCTATCCTGTCAGGTCTATTTTAAAGCATACAATACACCAAAGTCATCAATCACACATCACTTCTATTGACACATTTAGTAATATAGCTACACATTACT